AAAGTAAACAATACAAGATCAGTCGTTGTCTTGCTTTGAATTATTAGAAAATCTGAACTGAGAGGACGGTCCAGTAACACTTGGATTCTGACCTCAGTCATATATCATTCAAAATAAATGGGGGGGGGGGGGTCTGCTCTTGGGGGGGAAAAAAGACAAAACAACAGACAAGATGATAGAAAGAAATCAGTGAAGGCTGAAATAAAATTGAAAAAAGCCAAATATAAAGTGGCAAATGAGCTCACTTTAGAGCAACCAATAGAAACATGTTTGAGATCATTCACGTCTCGAGAGCCCAAAACAATTTCAGAATATCCATATCATGAGCAGCCGAACAGTAAAAATGTTTCAGGTGAGCAACATTAACAGTGTTGAAAAGAAAATAGTTTTGAGATTCTTCACGTTGAGTGCCGAATATATATCTATATATATTTTTTTTGATTAGCCAAATCTTCAGTGCGAAATGGGAAATGGCATCATTAACCACATGCAGAGTGCCTCACATAAAACTGCAACTTCTAGTGCACTGAATAGAAAATAGATTGTGATTAGTTACATCTAGAATGCCGAAGAGAAAATTCCATGTGATTAGCAACATCTAGAAAGGCAAATAGAAATCTTCTCGAGAGCGGCCCCGTCTAGAATAATGGCAAACAGAATTTTTTTCAAGACTAGCCATTTCTGAAAAAAACTGAAGAGAAAAATTGTTTGAGGTAAGTCTAGCGTGCCAATTCGAAAACCGAGACACTTGTGGAGCACCGAATCGAAAACTTTTAACACTCCACCAGATCCAAAGCGTAACACATGACACCTAGCATTAGCTAAAACATATCTGCCAGGTTGTCGGTAGCTCCAGTAAAGCAGCGGATTTGAATCGGCTCCAACGGGTTGTAGTACAGTAAACAGAATCACACAGGAACGTGGCCACTGGGCAACAGGATCAAGGGAAAGAGGGAGAGAGCAAGTGGGAGAGAGTGCACGTATCAACGGGGGAAAAAGTGGCAGCCGGCCGCTACCCGCGGCCACAAACAAAGTGAGGATACATGGGAAAAAAAAAAAATCGATGCAGTGTCCACCAGGGACAGAATGTCATGGAGGTTTCTCCCGCCCCCTCCCCCTACACTCCTCCCCATTTGCTGGCCTAATGGAGCACTGGAGCCCTGCTGGGGCACTGGTGTTTTTTTTTTTTTTTTTTTTTTTTTTTATGGCCCCAGTCACCTTGGCTAATCGAGGGATGGAGGGATGCAGGGAGAATCCCAACGGAGGGCAATTTCGAGGCATGGCAGCATGAGATGCAAGATGGAGAAAAAAAAAGCGTTCTTTTACATAACAAATCACGCCAGAGGCAGATAACGTGTGTGTTAAAAGAAACCATAAAGATGATGCACGTACTGTACCTCTTGGTACCGGGCCGCACCAAAAAAAAAATAAAATAAAATAAAAAATAAAACGTAATCAGATGACAGATACATTTATTTAAAATGTGGATTCTTGAGCAGGATTACATTTTGAATGCGGGCAGAGCGACAGCGCGGTTGAGTTAAGTGGATAACTGCTCACAATATAGCTCAGGGAGCGTTCCATGTTTAGGTTTTTGTTGGCCAACGATTAACACAGATCATTGGCTGAAGAGGCTGGGCATGTGTTGGTTTTAGCACAGTCACTTTGGAAAGTGATTCCAAATGAATGGTTGGTGACTGTTTTCGATTGTATTCATGATTTACCTGACAGAGAAACGTGTGAGCTGTCAAAGTCATCTGGACTGCCTGTTACCGTATGAGGAGCTAGCAGGCTAACAGAACGCTCGGACCTTGTACGTAAATTGAAGCTACCTTTTCTTTTTTGACCTTTCACCTGTTCCAATAAAAAACTGCTCAGTGGAAAGGTTTGAAAAATATTTTGAAGCTTGCAAAACTATTTTCCCTCACGATATGAAATTGTCTGTCTGTCTGATCCCTATTCGTTGCCTTCAGCAACACCAATCTGAAAACAGCTTCCTTTATGTAACCAAGCAATTGCCTGAAATGGAATCTATCTATCCATCCATCCATCTGTCCATCCGTCCATCCCTCCCTCCCGGCAGCATTGTGCGCAAGTGGTTAGCATGTGTGCCTCACAGTTTTTGTGCTTCGGATTTGAATTTTATGTGCTCAGGCTTCCTGTGGCATTCCAAAACCATGCACATTATACAACCATAAGACAGAAAAGACTAGACTAATATTTAAAGTTACATATCATGATTTGTTTTTATTCTTTTGAATTACATATTTGGAATGGAGTTATCCAAAACCAGTTAAAAGTATTCAAGTTACATTAGTACTTTTTTTAATCTGTAACTATCATCACTGTATTGGAATAATTTTTTCAAGTAACCTTGCCAACCCTGGTTATTTTCTATTTTTCTACATTTGTTAAACACTCTCACACATTCTCAAGCTCAGGTGCATCCACGAATACACTCTCACACACTGTCGTGCACATACACTAACACAAAATTACTGACACAAACAATATGACACTATTTCATGCACACACTCTCACATTAACAGACACACACACAGATGCACAAACGCCGGAACAGAGAGAGAGAGAGAGAGAGAGAGAGACACACATATTTACATTTACACATGGTCCCACTCTCACACATTATCTCACACACACACATTCACACACATGCATATTCTCACATAAACACTCATGCATTCACTCTCACACATTTTCAGCCGCACCTATGCACACACACACACACTCTCACAAACACTCTCACGTCCCCTCGTGTCTCTCGCAGACACACTCGCTCACACTCACAGTGCAGTGTAGACACTTTGAGAGGTCCATTTAACATTAAAGTCATCATCCCCAGCGGTGCTTGGCGACCAGCGCGAATTTACAGCAATCTTGGGGAGAGAGAAGGCACACGGGGCAAGCCAGCCGCTCACGAAGCCCTTCACATCGGTACAATGAAGGCTTTGATAGATCTTAATCATCCAAAGAGACGCGGTGCTTCGTCGGCCGCCGTAAATCTTCATTTGAATACAGTAAGGTGTTGATAATAAGCAGATGGAAGCTGACTTTTTTGTTTGAACCCTTCACTTTAACACACTGCTGAAGTCGTTTTGTGATGACACGACAAGATAGAACACTACAAGCGCCAAATGAAACTAATGAGGACGTGTCTTATGTCAGGTTCCAAAAAAAAAAATAAATAAAAGACTTGATGCAGACAATCTCATTTGACCAAACGTCTTTGCTGCGACAAGTGCAATGATGATTTATTCACCTGCATGCTGCCATCCGTTCTTATTTACAACCCTACATTCCATTTAGGTCGATCAATATTCTGTACATTTTATTTATATAAATATTGTCAAGGTCACATTTCTTGTATGGGCTTGGAAAAATCACAGCATCATCAAATGTTTCATCTGCTGGATGACAATCTTTTCTTTGATCTACCCAGATAAATTTCTCCCAAGGATGTTAATTTACCCAACCACAAATGGGAGGTGGCCATATGTGAACCAGAATATTTTTTAGAATAATATTAAACCGTGACATAGTGGTACACTCGTTCATAATCACATAGTAGAGCTCTCTCGTTCTAGAACAGTGAGAATGTTTCAGAAGAGATCACCATTAATCGTTTTCACTTCATTAGTCTGAAAAATTTAATTCATTGACTGCAAATAACGTTTGTTCATCAATCTATGCCGGCGGACAATGAAATGCTTTTCCACCACGCTTGGGTCAAGGTAGAAAAACAACAACACTGCTCGTGTTCTGGATTCAAATCAAGGCAGGATAACCAGACACTGCTGCTGCAAAAAATAAAAATGACTTCCTCGCTTCTATTTCCAACATCCTACATTTGTACATTCAGATTTTCTCCAATGCAGACTTGACAAAAGTGACACACCTGGGTGTCATGTCACCCAAGATTCGGTGAAAACAAGCGCGGAGCTCCTGCTAATTACAACAACTCCATTCATCGTAACGGTGACTTGGATTTGTATCATTTGTTTTAATTTGTTTCGGTGCCACAAGCTCACACGCTCAGGCCGATTCCATGCATGCAACTGACAACGTTGTTTGTTGCCAAAAGTGCCAATATCGCCTCTCCGCATCAGGTGCGCACGATCAGTTGTTATTGATGAGCGGCATGGATCGGGCGGCCATCGATCAGGGTATTGGTGATTAGGCTGTCATGAATAAAAGACAAGAGGCTATGGAGTTGTTGTTGTTTTTCACGCAAGGGCCAAAACATCTTGAGATGAGGAAAACAAGAGGAGGTAAGAAGAAGAATGCAAAGATGGTGATTAAAAGTGAGGATGAGGAGGTGACAAAGAGGTGATGGATAACATGTTGATGACAAACAACAAACTACGGCGAGGTAGAAAATGTGTTGAAAAGCTTTCACACATGAAAAAAAATGCACAAAATCTGTGACGGTAAGTGCTCAGACAAGAGAGTGATTGTTTTTATGTCTCCACTCGGGCTGAATAATTTGGAAAAATACTGTTATTGTGCTTGTGATAATATGCAGTTATTTTTTTTCCAAGGTCCTCTTCCCATGTATTTTGTTTTTTACACACACAAGCAATAAATAACATTATAACATTGCCTGAACAGTTAATAAAGAACTGATGGTAAAAGTTTGACTTACATTTTTTTTTTTTCTTTCAGATTATGTTCAACATCATTGTACCTTTTATGATGTACAACATCATCATTCCTGTCATAAGGAGTTGTTTATAAAAGCTACATAGAAATATTTCATCCCCCAAAAATCAAGTTACCATTCCGGTGAAGTGAAAATATTTGAGTTGCCTTAAAAATACACTCGACACCGTTTTCCCCATGTTGAGAATGTCACATTTGATGTGAGCATACATCAAGCCATAAAAGTCACACGTGTTTGTCCTGGCCCGGCCATCCATGTGCAGGTTTTGTGAAATAATAAAAATGACATGACAGGAAGTCAAGGGAATATTTGCGCTTACAGGTTCTTGACGTTGGTGATTCCTCTGAAGGCTTTCCTCGGCACCGCCTGGATCTGGTTCTCGCTCAGGTCTCTGGAGGGAAAGAGAAAGCCAAGGCTATAAGTTCCCAACGGTGAAGCAAACCACAAGCAGTTGGTGACACAAGGCCAAGGGAACAAAGAAACAGATGGATGGAATGACATTTATGATGACATGCAAATAGCCTCAAAGACCAAAGATCGAATTGAAATGGATACTGCTGGATGTATGTGACTGTGTAGCTTGTCCATGGTAGGGTGAAAAAAAAGAAAAAAAAACCACATTCCCCTGCCATTTTTTTAAGCCCTTGCTGATTTTTATTTTCCACGTTGACTTTGGCTCAGCGCATCCGACTTATGGCATGTGTAATGAATATGTACACTCTATGAGTCAGAACAATTGTGACATGACGCAACGGGTGGCCGTTAACTGCATCGGCCAGACGGCAGCAGCCAGGGCACGATGAGATGAGACAAAAGGGAAAAAGGAATGCTTCGGATGAGCTAATTGTCTGTAGTCGGCCTTCGGCCGATCTATTTGTCATGCTTTCAGCTACTGCATCTACATATATGGGAAGAACCACTGGCTGTTCCTGGAACAGAAATACTCGAGTACAGTAATGGAAAAAGGTTCTCATCAGTTTATTTTGATTGGCGTAATTGAAGATCTGTATTTTTTATTCCATTAGTTGCTGTAAATATTCTCTACTGCTGTTGTATTGATTTGGAGGTATATCCGCATTTGTGTGAAATGTATCCACGTGCACATTATATGCAGTGGAATACAAATCATCCCGATCCAGTGATTCAATTGAGTGAGCGGACAAATCTCAAAGAAAAAAAAAAAAAGAAAAAAGAAATCAGTGCTTTCACTCGTCGACCATCATTGGAACATATTACATGACTGACTGAACGAATTCACATCACTTGGCCATGAAGCTAAAAATTGAGCTCAGATGTATCCTGTTGCAATGGGTTATCTATCCAGGGGTCCAGCTAAGTTCCATTGATTGGACATGATTTGGAAAATACATTCCTGGCGATACAAGGTCTCACAATTGAAGGAACATCGAGCACAAACCAAGCTGACACTGACAGAAGTACTACTACTACTAGCATACAGTAAGTGTCTGGCTCTTGTGGTTGCCGAGTACGCACAGTGGCTGTCACTGTGATAAAGATTGAAAACGTTAGCAGCTTGGATGAAAACTGTTTGTTTTCCTCTCCACTAGGTTACAATAAATCTGCTCTATTTTCCTCAGGAGGTGCCAACAAGTTCATTTTGCTAATTGAATCAATTCTACACAGGCAGAGTATGAAGACGGACTCGTCCATTGCATGAGAGGAGTCCTTTTTTAGAATAAAGCGGACACATTTTGAGAAATGCATTTCATTTTTTATTTTTGAGTGGCTTGCATACAAATGATCTCTGGAGTCCCTTTCCATTTTTTAAAATTTTTTTGGTGGCTTGTATACAAATGATCTCTGGAGTCCCTGCCCACCTATCGACTGCGAAATTAAACAACAAAGTTAGTCTTTGCTTTACTTTGGAGTCAGCCGGCTCCCCTTTAAACACCTCCAGTTGCTCCAAAATGTGGTCCCTTGCTTCTTAACTGCAGCATGTAAGAGGGAGCATCAAACTCTGGCATCCCTCCACTGGCTACCACCGAACATATGGACGCTTATTTCATGCCCTATTTCTTTTTATTGTTTTAACTTTGTAACTGTTTTAATGTTCGTGTACGTTATGTTCAATTTTTATGTTCGTATGCGAGCTTCACTTGGGAGAGAATTTGGTCGAACAAAAGGATTTCTTTGGGGGGACGGGGGAGGTTGTGGTTTTGGATGTTTCCCTCTTTGGCTGCTTGTTTTGTTTGACGCGTCCCAGTTGGCTGATGGAGAGAATGAATGTGCGGTGCATCAAAGTCGAATGCGTCGGTCGGAAAACGCGCTCGCGCAGGCAGCATGGATGACAAGCTGGAATGGAATCGTGTTGTTTTATTGTGCAGCTCGGTCGGGATATATTGTATATGTTCATTCTACTGGTTTTTGACTCATTTACACCGAGGTGGTTTTCTTTCTTGTCTTCTGCCTGTCATTTTGACCGAGCAAATAGAAACATACATTCTGAGCTCTGTCGCTTTCTATTATCCGTCACCCGGGCATTGTTTATCTGCTTTAATAACTGTACGAACACATCTATCATGGGTGGTGTTTTTTTTCCCTGTGATTTGCAGCTCGCTGTGGAACAAAATACAATCAGGAGAAAGAAACAGGCATGATGAGTTGCATTACAACTGAGAGGATTTCTGTGTACAATAATTAAAAGTTTTGTTTAGAATCCATCATGTTTTGTATTGTCTACAAAAGCCCTTCAAAATCCAGGGTAGTGTCGCCGGAGTCAAGCATATTTTAGCGTGCTATGCCAAGAACCCATTGGATTTTGAGCTGCGGTCATAAAGTTATTGCGCGGTGGCAACGCGACCGCTTTTCAACCCAATCTCCTTCAGATGTTCAGATTGCATGGCCCCATGCCGAGAACCGGGATCGATTCAGGATGATGGATGATCCCAGATTGCTGGGGACTATAAAACTGTCTTTTGGGGACGCAGACATTTTCCGAATTTTCCCCCAACAGCAGGACCAAAGCGATCCGATAAGTAAGGATGCATGGATACAACTTTTTTCAGACCAAGTGCAAGTAATTACTTTTGAGTACTTGCCAATACTGAGCACTAATACCTTCAGAATGAATGCCTTGATTGTCTTGCAATTTTGGTAAATCTGTATAAAATACTGTTCAGAACACAAAATTACTATTTGATATATCATCATTCTACAGAGGATTCAATGCAATGTGTGTTCAAGTGTTTTCTATTTCAAGGTACATACATTTTAGCAAGGATCATGGAGGTTTACACACATGATTTTCTTTTGCCGGCCATATAAAATGATGTGATGGGCCTGATCTGGCCCACGGGCCTTGAGTTTGATGATTGAAGTTATTGCAGCCAAAGTTGTATGCTTGTTAGATTAACTACATGTCTGTTATTCTCTTAGGCAAGGCCATTTTATTTATATCATTTCATACATTAGGCAACTGAATGTGCTTCAGACGCAAAACAACTGCAAATAGCATCCCCCCACCCTCCCCAAAAAAAAACTGCAAAAGTATATTACTAAAAATTATGAAACGAATGTACATTGCCAACAATCAAATGCATTAAAAGCATTGAAAAGCAAAGTTTTCTAAAATTATTGACAGAACTTGGGACTGACTTCACTTCTTTTGGCAGCTTATTCCATTTGTGTGCAGCATAACAGACAAATGCTGCTTCACCATGTTTGCTTTTGAAATCTGGGCTCCACTAATATACCTGAGTGTACAGATCTCAAAGCCCTACTGGGTTTATATTCTGTTACCAATTCTTTCATGTATTCATGTTTGTGTTGTCGTCTTGTGTTGTCGTATTTATTGTGTATGACATGCTGCTATCAGGAGTCGTAGTGATTTATAGACTAACAGTTCGGGAATATTCAGAACCCCTAAAATACAGTATATACATTTTACCACAATACATGAAAATTGATGAGGTTTTAGACATTAAGAGGCCACCAAAAAGATGATTCATTTGATGCCTGCGTAAAAAGATCAACGCGATGAGACCATCTTCAAGAACCAACAGTGCCACATTTGAACACTTAGATGTGTATCGTGTCCTCGTGTAAACAGCAATCTCTCCTCTCATCTCATCATGACTTCATACCTGCTGACCTTTGAGCACAGAGAAGGCCATCTGCAACAAGAGGCTGAACCCTGAACCCCTGAAAAGGACACCGGCTGATAGACCAGACACACAAACACACAAGGATTGCTTGGTTTATGTGTGGGCTGAGAAGTCTCTTCACCTGCAATTTGCCACTATGTTTCAATTTGCTCTTCTGCGCTGACACCAAATGGAGGGGACAAAGTCAACACATCCAAATTCAGCCTGGCAAGGCAGTATGACGTGCAATCAATTCTTCCCATAGGGGGCTAAAATACTCACATTGTTAGAGGAAAAAAAAAAAACGACTAGTTGTGAACTCAATTTCAAGGCGAAAATTGTTTTCATGTTGAGCATTTCAACTATCCATCCATCCATCTATCCATCCATTTTCCGATCTGCTTCATCCTCACAAGGGTCAAGGGTGATGCTGGAGCATATCCCAGCTGTCTTCTGGCAATAGGCGGGGGACACCCTGAACCGGTTGCCAGCCAATCGCAGGGCACACAAAGACGAACAACCATTCACGCTCACAAGCACACCTCGGGACACTTCAGTGTTCAATCGGCCTGCCACGCATGTTTTTGGAATGTAAGAGGAAATCGGAGAACCCAAAGAAAACCCACGCAGACACGGAGAGAACATGCAAACTCCACACAGGGAGGCCAGAGTCAGAATCGAACCCTGCACCTCTGCATTGTGAGGTCGATGCGCTAACCACTGGACTGCCACATTTTAACGACATGTTTTCGATTTTGCTGTTGTGAAATTTGGCTTTGCCGCATTTCACTAAATAGAAACAATAGTTAGCAAAATTAATTGTCCCTCGTATTGTCCCCCAGAATGAAGTAAATCAACTCAGCAAGTCATTTTGGCACAAACGACTTGGTAGTTTCACTCTGCTAAAATTGTTGCCATGAATATCAACAATACATTTTAAAGTTGTTCCAAGTTTTTTTGTCTTTTTTTTTTACAGCACACTCTGTACTTAATAGAATATTTGTTTTAAAAAAGTGTGACTAGAAGTATGACTACTGATTAAATTCCTTTACTTGGGTAAAGGATGGACAGACTGGATGCAATATGGAAATTTCTTTTACTTAAAGTACACTTGCCTATCACCACATCTCTTGATTTACCATTTCCGAACAGTTTTGTTTTTTTTTTTTTCATTTTTTGTAGAAAAGTATTTTCTGGAAGTTGTATGACTGCAATGAAATGTCATCAAAGAATTATTCAAAAGACTTTTCAGTATTTTTTTTAATTACCCTCTGAATTACTCGATTAT